ATATTGTATATATATCTCTCTCTCTATATATATATATATAGAGAGAGAGATATATATAGATATATACATACAGTGGGTTATTGGTAACTGTTCAAGCATTGGATACATTAAAACATAAAATATTTTATACAGCATTAGTCAGAAACTGGTGAACTGTTAATCACAACGGTTACAGAGTTAGTGCTTATAGAGATCAGTACAATGTTTGATCAACAGAGAGAGAATTACACCAGGGAATCTCCCAGGGACTGCTTGCTGACATGGATTTACATTGGGCACTGGGCAGTGGTGGCTGCACACATAGCGATTATATAAACAGCAACGGGTCAATCCACGTTGAGCGCAGCCCCGCCGTCTAATTGCCCATCTAAAGTGTCTGCTTTGTACGTGGGCTGAAAAGCCGGAAGGAGCTGTCCTCTCATTCCTGGTGCTGAAACAGCCACATATCCCCAGCAGACACACAGCAAGCATTTCCCCATCACCTGGTAGATTATAATAAACCATCCTCACACCACAAGCTAAGTATTGTGCCTGATTTCATAATGAAACACATGCAACTGGGCCTACACGACCAGTGCTAGTCAAGGATTAGACAGATCATGCAGAAGGTATATGAATTAACCTACCTCACAGTGGAAGGATATGGATGCTGCAAGGGAATGTTACTGTGTTCCTGAGATGGAGTCAGAGCTGTGGCTTTGTATTTTTCAGTCTTTTTGCTTGATTTCTCTTTCTGTCAATATATTTCTGTGTCTCTCTACCACTTAACAGCTCTCCCACTCCTGCTCTGCAAGAAAAGGTTTCTAAAAATAGCTTGCTCACGCCTGGCAGTGAAACTAGCACATCCTATACATTGCTTTAATTTTTATCATCCACTCTTCCAGGCAGACCTGCACTATCACCCTGATGCTGTCTCCTTCTATGCTCCTTGAAGACTAACAGCTGGCTTGTCTGGCCCCAGCTCTTATTTTTTATGGAAAGGTAAAAGGCACCTAGCAAGTCTGTTTTTATGGTAATGGTAGAAGGGGTCACTAAAACAAAATAAAAAAAATTGTAGCATTATTATTTTGCTTAAAAAAATGGCGATGTCTTAGAATCCCTATGGTTAAAGCAAGCACACTTAACGATAATTACATACAACATAAACTATACCTTTACTGCTGCAGAGGTGGCCCCTTAGCTGATTCCAGTGTAATACCTGAATTGTGTATGTTGAAGACACTGCAGAGTGCCTGCACCAATCATGATAGTTTTCATATATACTGTAGCAACCTGCAGTCATTCATCACGAGTGAGGAAACAAGTCTGTGTATCTTTTATACAATCAACAGGGAACAAAACAATATGGTATACTGCCACGACATATCAAAGTGTAGACATGAATAAATATATTTTCAATGTTTTGCAGCCTTATACAATAACATTGCACATTTTAAATTATATCATGTTTGGTTTAAAGAGACATCTGGCATTACAATAATGACATCATGGAGAGTTTAACTTTTTTTTTTTTTAATACTGGAAATTTTAAATTCATTCTCAACATTTTAGTTCTCAGGTAGGCAAGCTAATTGTACTTAAATTTTTACACATTGGGCAGAATTAACAATAATGGTCTGAGACAAGTTTTATCTCAATTGGTACTGTTGCTCATAGTAACCAATCAGCTTCTATCTTTTACTTTTTCCACACAGCTTAGAAAATGAAATGTAAAAGTTGATGGCTGGGCTCTATTTGTGACAAATAATTTGGTAAAATGTCAGCAACTTTGACAGAGTTGGCAGTTTTGATCATCAGCTGCACATGTACAAAACAATTATATAACTAATTACCCCCTTCCTCATTTACCCAGGGCATGTGCATTTCAATAAACACTGAATGGTGTCATACACTGCATTTGCAGGGCATGATACAGACTTTTTAAGTGTATTACTACTTTTGCAGCCAAATTGGGTTAACACCTACTTTACATTTGTAACATGTTCCCATTCACATAACAAAAAAACAACATATACACCATATTGACAAAAGTATTGGGACGCCTGCCTTTACATGCACATGAACTTTAATGGCATCCCAGTCTTAGTCTGTAGGGTTCAATATTGAGTTGGCCCACCCTTTGCCGCTATAACAGCTTCAACTCTTCTGGGAAGGCGTCCACAATGTTTAGGAGTGTGTCTATGGGAATTTTTGACCATTCTTCCAGGAGCGCATTTGTAAGGTCAGGTACTGATGTTGGACGAGAAGGCCTGGCTCGCAGTCTCCGCTCTAATTCATCCCAAAGGTGTTCTATCGGGTTGAGGTCAGGACTCTTTGCAGGCCAGTCAAGTTCTTCCACCCCAAACTCGCTCATCCATGTCTTTATGGACCTTGCTTTGTGCGCTGGTGCGCAGTCATGTTGGAACCGGAAGGGGCCATCCCCAAACTGTTCCCACAAAGTTGGGAGCATGATATTGTCCAAAATGTCTTGGTATGCTGATGCCTTAAGAGTTCCCTTCACTGGAACTAAGGGGCCAAGCCCAACCCCTGAAAAACAACCCAACACCATAATCCCCCCTCCACCAAACTTTACACTTGGCACAATGCAGTCAGGCAAGTACCGTTCTCCTGGCAACCAGCAAACCCAGACATGTCCATCGTATTCCCAGACAGAGAGACGTGATTTGTCACTCCAGAGAACACGTCTCCACTTCTCCAGAGTCCAGTGGCGGCGTGCTTTACACCACTGCATCCAACACTTTTCATTGCACTTGGTGATGTAAAGCTTGGATGCAGCTGCTTGGCCATGGAAACCCATTCCATAAAGCTCTCTACGCACTGTTGTTGCGCCAATCTGAACTATGGAGGTCTGTAGCTATTGACTCTGCAGACAGTTGGCGACTTCTGCGCACTGTGCGCTTCAGCATGAGCTGACCCCGCTCTGTCATTTTACGTGGCCTACCACCACGTTGAGTTGCTGCTGTTCCCCGTTGCTTCCACTTTGTTATAATACCACTAACAGTTGACGATGGAATATTTAGTAGCAAGGAAATTTCACAGAACACCTGAATCCAATGATTTGGAGGAGTGTCCCAATACTTATGGCAATATAGTGTATATAAAAATGGCAGCCTACCTTTCTTCAATGATGTTTCTGCCTCTGCACCTCTGCAAAGCTGAAAAATACAGCTTAGTTCTCTATGTCTGTGAGGTTGGGGGGAGTTGTTTTTTCATATAAATAACCCCGTCTGTACTGTGCTGGCTGATTTTGTTATCATTTGTAAAATACGGTAGATGAGCAGGGCTGTCTGTCCTAACAAAGGTTAAAGTCCTGTGTTAATGAACTTTTAAGAAAACTGTCCCTCAGCCAGTCCCTTATCAGTTTACTGGCATCTATTCCAACCACTAGAAGCTTTATGTTAAGTTCTATGTGTAATCCTGCTCCAAAGAAACGGCTAAAAAGGCACTACCACACAAAAACTTAATATAACTTATTGAAAATAAAAGGGCACTACCCCCACACTGCAAGGGTGAAGTGCTTGTTTGCGCCTAGGGACGAAAATAAAAAATGTATACTCACCTGATCCTTGCAGACGGCTTGTTCTTAGATCAGTCCCTGGAGCCTCTCTCCTGCTCTGCTGCAGGTCCCGTAAATCATCACATTCTATACATGGTATATAGATGTGAGGACAGCAAGGAACATTTCAATACTGCAGCACAGGAGGAGAAAGGCAGGAGGAAGCATTGTCACAGCCGGCTATCTCAGAGGATTGGGTATAACTTTGTCAATTTCCTCCCTAGAGCAAAACAAGCATCTATCCCTTGCAGTGTGGGGGTAGCCCCAATGCGAGGGTTAAAAATTATTTCCCCAGAGTTCTGCTTTAACATGTTAATATCATTTCAAAATGAATTATCGTTATTTTCAGATCTACAGTTTTTATTAAAGTAATACCTGGTCATCTTACCATCAAGGTTATTGCTCAGGCACTTCCTTTTATAGGACAACAACTTTCTATCCTTTATTCCCCAATTGTCCACTTGTGTTGTCACCCTGTCGTGACGGCTTTCAATAGGGACTACAAGAGGCGGTTTCAACACACATTATGCAGGCATAGTCTTTCATCTCACCATTCTCTGGATCTCAGATCTCTCCATCCTCTGAAGCTCACACTCAGAAATGCCATTCAGCCATCACTGAAGAGCAGAAAATATGTGTATGTAGACAGGTCCTGGCTGCAAAAAGACTGCAGGAGATCAGCAACACTGAGACGAAACAAATGTTGAAAAACAAGTAAAAAATAGCATTTCGATTATATACAATGCTATAGCAAACTCTGTGTCATTCAGTTAGGGTTTATATGTACTTTTATGTGTCCTTTTCTTCTAATCTGTGACTTTTGCGCACCTAATCCGGAAATGGGGCTGAGTGGTTATTACTCTGATCAGTTTATGCAACACCAAAAAAGGATTACAACTTTTAATCTAGATAGGCCAGATAAAGCAAATAGCATTGAGAGGTTTATAGTGATAAGCCTTTATTTAAACCTGTTACTACAAAGCTGTTTATATTCACTGATAGCAGATGGTACTGGTGTTTTATGGCCTAAAGTCTGATCATATGAAACACTGTAGTTGATTCCAGCTGCCAAATAAGTGATCCCTTGGCACCCTCTGTTTGTAGCATTTAAACATATAGTTGAAAGAAAATAATTTATAATTTCATGTTTTTGTCTGCTACCACACAAGTAGCATTGTTTTCTTTTTTACATCTTAAATCTCGCATGACACCTAGCCTCTGGCATAAAACTATTTGCATAAACCTACAACAGGGCAGGAAAAGACTTTTGTTTTTTTCTCATAGGAGCAATAAAATGTAGTGCAAAGTCTAGCGAATAGACACTTGGTGCAGAACCTTCATTTTTAAATCTGTAGAGAGCGTAGGAAGCTGCATACAGACATATTCAGTTTATTCCAGGGTACATGAAAATGACTAGACAGGCTAGAAAATCCCTTAGAAGTGTAGGGTGCAGCTGCTTGGGGGTACAGATAGGCATGCAACGATCACCTGATATGACTCAGAAAAGGCCAGACACCATTCATGTTTTATAATCTGGATTCAAGTGTCAATAAGGTTTTTTTATATACTAACAAGCCAGGCTAATGTCTTCTACAAGGTGAACTACAGGTAAAAATCTGATAAATCAAGTGCACTTCCCCTTTCAAGGCGCAGAAGGTGAAAAGAAGATGGGTGGATTTACTGAAGGAGGAGACCGTGTTCATTTTTCAATGTGAATTTTCAATTCACTTTGTAAATGAGGTGCAGCTGTGTTCACTTTCCATGCCCAAACATGTGTAAGGAAAAAAACAAAACACTATTAGATGATTAAAGTCATCACAGCTTCACCTCAAAATTTAAGCAATATTAAAGCCAAAAGGTTTTAAACCTTTTTTAAATACTGAAAATGTCACTTACAATGGATACTGCTTCTTAATGTTCAAAAGTTTTAGTTTCCTGCAGAATCAGCTGGTCCCGAGCTCCTTTCTCTTGTAGCGTCCTATGGAGACACCCTTGTGTGTGATAGTAAGCTGTGTGTGTCTTCACAGACCCGCAATCGATGGCAGAAATCACTAGCACTCAAACGTATGCCTGTAGTATGAACGCTTTTTATTCATGCGTCACTTTTGTCATCAAGCCAAACTTTCAGGGCCACGCAGGGTCCCTTCCTCACGGTGACACAAACACACAGACACAGCAACGCAAGCCCACTTCCCAGCTCCCAGCTCCTCCCTACTCCAAGCAAATAGCTGGATAGCTGTTGGAGACTGCTTTGTCCTTTGTGATCTTGTACTAGACACGAAGTTCATGGAAGCCAAGCTGACAGAGTTGGAACCAGTTGTTCAGAAACATGATGACATG